TTCCACAAAAGTAAATAAGTTTACACAAAATTTCGATTTTGACACTGTCATTTTTTTTTGTCTTAAATTAGTTAGACACTCCGTTTTCCAATTTTTTACACTTTTCACCACTTAATTGATCAATCTGGTTTCTTACTAATGTGACATGATGACATGTTAGTTTTGATGACGTGTCATGATGACATTGCATGATGACGTGGCACTTTGGGTGACATTACATTTTGTGTATCGAAATTAAAAAAAGGCTGATGGTGTGACGGAGAGAGAGAGAGTTAGCTATATCAAAACACATAAACATATTAGGGTTACATTTTCAGGGGTACCGTTTGATCAGTGAAAGAGAGGGTCAAAAGAAAGAACAAAGAAAGAGTTTTCTTGAGGAATAAGGCCTCCTATATGGCTTGTTGGTTTGTTTTTCCGGTGAGTGTTCCATCACCAAAAAGAGAACGCAATGATGAGACGACTGCCCAACTGTTTCACATGGACTTATTCTGTCGAAATGAGGAAGAAGATAAGTCGGGGATGGGAACATGTGATCTAAGGGAGGCTTTAGTGGAGTCTCTACAACAAGATCTTGAGATATCTTGTGAAAGTTTCGAAAAATGATGTCGTGTGAACCCCAACGAAGCCTTAATTTTTCAGCTCATGTTTCCAACGATTTATGTCAACTCCGACCACACATTAGATTCCTCTTGTTTACATATTGATGCTCCGACGAGAGTTCCAACTTCCAGGAAGTTTGAAAAGTTAAATAGGTTAGAAACATGGGTTGTACTTGGGTTATTCTAAGGTAGCCACATGTGAGTGAGGGAAGTTCGAGAAGTTGAATGGTTTGTGTTTTTGATGTTTGATATTTTTTCCAGGCAAGGGAATCAAGGAACGAGGAAGACTGTACCATAAATGAGTGGTTGTAGGAACCAAACACATTAATGGAGTCTATAGATTACCGATAATAATGAGGTTAACATGTTGTTCTTTGGATATGCATGGATTTGGCTTTGACATATTCATGGCTCTTTAAAAGAGGTACAACCATTTTCCCGATCGTTAATTGTCAGGTACAGGTTCTATGATTGCGTCACATATACACTTTACTTTATCTAGATAACATATATATATATATATATATATATATATATATATATATATATATATATATATATATAGGGAAAGGATCAAATGAGAACACCTAAAAGGTTGAGAACGCGAGAACACTTCTGGACCAATCATATTATAAGGGTATATTAGTAATTGTTTATTTATTTTTAATAAAATCAAATTAAATTCAAATCTTAATTTCCTAAAATTTAGTGATAATGATTATCTACCTAAAATAAAATATGAACCGATTTTTTTATTTCTTTTATTAATGGATATTAAAGATAATTTATATTATTTTTTTTTTGTCAAATAAAAAATCCTTTTTTTGCTAATTTATTATTCATCAAAATAATTTCAATCATATATGAATAAAACATTTGTAATTATAAAAATATATGTTTGTAATCCTAACTAATAAATCATAATTTAGAGATAACATTTATAAATGAATAAAAATAAATTACTAATCATACATGAATATGCTAACAAATAAAAAAAAATCAACACATTAAAAATTATATTCATAAAATAAAATTTTCAAAGATTGAGTTTATACATTTATATATTTATATTCATAAAAGAATATCCCAAGACTAGTTTGATACATTTATACATAATTATATTCAACAATGATTAAACCACTTCAAATGAAAAAAAAATTGCAAAATTCATCCCTATATCAGCCATTTTCTTGAATTGGTCACAACCCTTTCCTTCTCTTTGAATCAAATGGGTCGCGAGCTAGTGTAACGAGCAGGAGCAGGCACAGAATCTAAAGAATTCTTGCATTCCTTTTTCTTTGATTAATATCTACAAAAATAACAATAACATGTAAAGACAATAAAAATACCAACAAAATATTAAAATGAATGATTAGTAGAAAAACATATGTTGTTATAATCATAAATGATTATGATGAGGGCATGATTGTGTTTTTGCATCTCTTTCAAATAGTAAGCTTGTAAACCATACGTAGCACAAGTCCCGTATGAATATGATTTGTATAAATTGTGATAAGTAAATGAATTTTAGGGTTCAAATGTTGGGATTTCAGATTCAGGGCCATGTGTGAGCTGGTAAACCAAACGTGATAATATACTCCGATAAGGATCATTCCGTCTTTTCTCTTTTAGATAAGATAGACACCTTTCTACCTCCGACTTCACCTCTACATACAACTCATGTGCCTTGTCCCTATTCCTTAGCTCCTGCTGTCTCCCTGCAAACCAACGACCCTTCGGAAAAAAAATGTAAATAATTTCCTTATAAACATAACATAACATCACATCACACACCTTGTGTTTCAATTGGGTTTCCAAAAAGATAATAAAATCTCCCAGGTAGTTTGGGACGCATCATTGGAAAGTGTACATCTTGGTTTGCTACTTCACCTTCAACGTTACTCCTGTAGTAGTAGCATCACTCATCAGCCATCACATTAAAGAATATATAGAATCATTTCAAGAAACTAACAAATAAAAAGTATGATAGATATTTATGTATAGTTGGATACCTAAGCTGCACGGCCTCATCAGTTAATTCCTGTATAAATTGTCTGAGATAAATTCTCGTAAGTTGTGTTAAACAATAGAATATGTGAGGTGAGCAAATTAACAAAAAAAAAGAAGTCCACGTACCTCACCAATATCATCTTCTCCAACAACACCAAAAGGTATGATTTTGGCTCCAAACATAGCAGCCATCCTCACAAACTCAGACTGGTCTGGCCAGAAAAACATATGTTGTTATAATCATAAATGATTATTATCAGCGTCTTTTAATCATATGTACAACCATTTTTATAATCATAAGTGATTATAGCGAACACACCTGACTATGTTGATTGAATTTATTCACCACTATAGTGAAGGATATCCGATTGCTAGAATTTGACCTACGAACACAATAGAAGGAAGAATCAAAACTTACCAATTGTTGATTTATAGCTTCAATTTCATAGGAAATCTTGTCAAATTTCCCCCCTCTTCCCGTCACTCCCTTTCTCTCGCTCGTCTCTATTCCCTTCCTCCTAATGCACGACACAAAGCACACAATCCCAAAATACGATTCATATGGATCGACTCTTAATCGGACTTGATGGGCATGGGAAGAAAATTCATGAACGCAGCCTCGTGAGACCCGATCGACGCATTCATGGGGCTGCCCGAGTGCCAATCTGGAAACAATATCTCGTTCGAAAGAGAAAGGATATCTGATTGCGATCTAAACCAGATAAACACCTCCCTCTCGGTTTTCCATGAATCGGGTTGTAGGAGACCGATTGGAGATCGAGTTGCAGGAGGCCAATTGGAAATCTACTTCAGGTACGATTAGGGCTACGAAAATAAAAAAATGAAGATGATGGATATGAGATAGTAAGATGATGAAGGTGTCGATTGTATGTTGTATGAAATTAGGTCAACGAAATAGAGAGGCAGAGAGTAATTATAGGAGTTTACAAAATTAGGGTAATGTTTATTTACCTTAATACCCTTTATAATTTGCTTTAATTTGAAATTTAATTTTTAAATGTATTAATAATTAGAAAAATAATAATTAATCATAGCCACACATCTTAAAAATTAGATGGTCCAGATCTGTTCTCGCGTTCTCAACCTTTTAGGTGTTCTCATTTGATCCTACTCCTCTCCTATATATATATATATATATATATATATATATATATATATATATATATAGTGAGAACACCATTTGTATGTTATTATTCTTCTTTGAATTTAATATGTATAGTATTGTAGTAATTATAATATGAATATATTCAATTTTATATTGCTATTCTACTATATATATATATATATATATATATATATATATATATATATATATATATATAGTAATTTAGAAAATTCTAATGTGAATGTTAAATATGTGATTGTTCATATATTCGGTGATGAATAATGTCATAAAGTTGTACATACAAAATTTTAATATGAATATTAATGTGTGATTGTTCGTATATTTGTTGATAAATAATGTCATATCGTTGTATATACAAAATTCATAATAGAATAGTAACATAAAGTAGTGTTGTCACGTTCTCACTTTATTTAGTGTTCTCATTTGAACTTAACCCTATATATATATATATATATATATATATATATATGATTAGGTTAAAATGTTTCTTACATTTATTGTGTGCTAGAATGCACGAATAGGAATTTAGTAAAGTTTAATTATTATTTAATTAAATAAAGATAGATATTATATAATTTGGTAACAATTTAATTAACATATGAATTATTTTTATTTTGTTGTGGAGCTATTTTGAAAATAGTATTAGTTAATAGTTTGTATTTATATGTATGGTACTATAAGTAATGTCTTCATTGAAAAATACAAAATTACATAAGAGTCATTAGATTATGGGTAACTCTTATACAAATAATAATATTATTATTTTTTTCAATTTCGATAATTAGAATATGATGTAACCAAAAATGTTATGTCATCATGCACTGTCAGTATGTAATAGTATGTAATGTTGGTAGACAACTGAATTAACTGGTAAAATAATAAGAATTATAACAAATTAGAAAACAAAGCGTCTTATTTAAAACAATACATAACGTAGTTTTAAAATTAAAATTTTGGACAAACTTAATAATTTTTGTGGAAATTGCCTGCTAACAAATATATTATAAAAAATACAATTTAACAACAAACTATAATTTAACAATTAGGGTAATTTGAAATTGAGAAAACTAGTTGTCAAAAAATATTTAAACTGATTCAAAACTCGTTATTTCGAGATTTTATAAAAAGAGGGTTAAAACGTCAAGCAACTTTTGGAAAAGTGGTATAAAACACAACATGTTAAACTTGGATAAGATCAATATAATCTCCAACGATACAAGTTATTATTATTTTGAGTTTGACAAGTACGGAAATCATAATTACAGGATTTACTACAGAGAGAAATTTCTATAAATACTCCTACTCGCCGTTGCTATACAATCCTCCATTTCTTCTTCGTTTTCAAACCTTTCATACGTTCTCTCCTTCGCCACTTTCATTTACCACAGTTTCAAACAAATTATCAGTCACCATTATGGCCGGCGGTTATGTGCCGACCGCTCCCGGCGGTGATAAAGGTTACCCCGGGAACCTCACTCTTTATGTCACCTTTACTTGCGTTGTTGCGGCCATGGGTGGTCTCATTTTCGGTTATGATATCGGAATCTCCGGTAATATTATGCTCTTCCATTTCAGTTTCTTGATTTTCCGATCATGTTATATGATCTTTTTCTTTTGTCTTTATTGTGTTTCAAGTTCTTCATCATCTTATGATCTCCGGTTTTTCTTATGATTAGGTGGTGTGACGGCGATGGATCCATTTCTGAAGAAGTTCTTCCCGTCGGTGTACAGGAAACAGTCCGCTGATACGTCGACGAACCAGTACTGCAAGTTTGATAGTCAGACGTTGACTATGTTTACGTCGTCGTTGTATCTAGCGGCGCTGCTGTCGTCGTTGGTGGCGTCGACGGTGACCCGAAAGCTTGGCCGGAAACTTTCAATGCTGTTCGGCGGTATCCTTTTCTGTGCCGGCGCTTTGATCAACGGTTTTGCTCAAGCCGTTTGGATGCTTATCGTTGGTCGGATCCTCCTTGGATTTGGCATCGGGTTTGCCAATCAGGTAATTCTTTTCAAAATTAATTTTTTTCTTTCCATATTCCAAAAAATTCTTTGTTATTCTAATTTTTATAAATCATGAGATCTAAAATATACTTTTAGAAACTTTCTGCGTACTAATTATACTCTAAAATGACCATTTTAAAACATTTAATATATATTATTTTGATGATATAAAACAAATGTCATAAATGAAAATAGAAATTATAAAACAAAAATTTTGAGTAAAAATGAAAATTTGAACAATAAGTATTTATTATTTACTGACACAAGTGTTTAACTTTCTTTACCAACCTCACAAGTTGGTTTTGAAACAGATATTTTTTATTTGTTTTGCGTTGTTTTTGGTGTTAGTTTCAACTTGTTTCGAAAACAATTAGTAACTTAATCAATTAAAAATTATAAAAAAATAAAGACCTTTTTTGTTTTTTCTTTGCACATGTTGTCACTTTGTTTGTTTTCAAATGTTTCATAACTAAAACGCTTTGCTTGTGATTGCAACCTCTACAAAGCTTGACTTTCACAATGACACCCCCTAATTTTAAAAAAGAAAAAAAATTCTCACTATCACAAACAATAATATTCTTACATTTCGTTATAATCGAAAAATATCCATCATTATTTATCTTTATTTATAATCTTTTTCTTTGTATATACAGTCTGTGCCACTATACCTTTCGGAAATGGCACCATACAAATACCGTGGGTCCCTCAACATAGGTTTCCAACTGTCAATCACAATTGGAATCTTAGTGGCCAATGTTTTGAACTACTTCTTCAACAAACTTGATGGGAATCTAGGATGGAGGTTGAGTCTCGGGGGAGCAGTGGTCCCCGCCCTGATTATCACAGTGGGATCACTAATCCTCCCCGAGACCCCAAACTCCATGATCGAAAGAGGTCAAACTGATGAAGCGAGAACAAAGCTTCGTAGGATCCGAGGGGTTGATAATGTTGATGCAGAGTTCAATGATTTGGTTCATGCAAGTGAAGAATCGAGGAAAATCGAACATCCATGGAGAAATTTGTTGCAAAAAAAGTATAGACCACAATTGACAATGGCAATATTGATCCCGTTTTTCCAACAACTAACGGGGATTAATGTGATCATGTTTTACGCTCCGGTTTTGTTCAAAACAATCGGTTTTGGTGGTGATGCTTCGCTTATGTCGGCTGTGATTACCGGATCTGTAAATGTTCTTGCTACTTGTGTTTCGATTTACGGTGTTGATAAATGGGGACGAAGGTTTCCTTTTCCTTGAAGGAGGCATTCAAATGCTCATTTGTCAGGTATAATAATATTCTCTTGTTATAGATTACATATGAATGTTTTTTTGACTTAATGCATAAAGTCATGAAATAAGAGTTTTCTCCACTAAGTTCGGACTTTTTACAGAATTTACATCATTTATGTTTTGCACTATCATTTTAAACTTTATCAAGACAAGACGTTATCATAATGGCGTCTCAATATGTGTCGAGATGTACTACACAGTTGTATTGCACAACTTTGCAGTGCATCTTGGGATGACAATGTGTCATTAAGCTGACAATCTTTTTTTAATGGAATTAATAGGTTGCAGTTGCGGTCTTCATAGGGATCAAATTTGGAGTAAATGGAGATCCGGGTGATTTGCCAAAGTGGTATGCCATCGTGGTTGTTCTCTTCATATGCATATATGTTGCAGGGTTCGCATGGTCATGGGGCCCACTAGGGTGGCTCGTACCTAGTGAAATCTTTCCACTTGAGATCCGATCAGCCGCCCAAAGTATCAATGTCTCAGTTAACATGATATTCACCTTCATAATTGCTCAAGTGTTCTTAACCATGCTTTGCCATCTTAAATTCGGGCTTTTCCTCTTCTTTGCATTTTGGGTTGTTATCATGACGATTTTCGTGTATGTGTTCTTGCCTGAAACAAAGAACATTCCTATTGAAGAAATGGTGATTGTGTGGAAGAAGCATTGGTTTTGGAAAAGATTTATGGTGGATGTTGATCACCCTAATGGACTCGAACTAAACAAAGGAAGCGATGGGGTTAAGAAAGTATAACTTATATCAAATTTAGTAGTGATTTATATCTTATGTATTGATAGTTATATGTTTTAAAGTACCACTCCACAAAAGAGTAAATATGAATTGGTTTATGGGTATCAAAGGATGTAATTTGGGATTGTTCTACTGGAAACTATAATATTTTCTTGTCAGTTCATTGATGAATCGAAGTTGCGTTGTTATATGTTTGGTCTCATCACTCATGTTTAATTACTTTGGTGGGTGGTTTGAGTAGTTCTATTAGGCCAGTCGGTGTGGTTTCGGAAAGGGATATATTCGGCATGCTCTGCGAATATCGCCTGTTGAGCTCGGCTCGGCAATTCGGCAGAGAGTTACCGATGAGAGAGAAAACTCAATTTTGATTTTCTTTATCATTTATTATTCAAATACCATTTTCAAAAAATACCATCTTTCTCAAAAATACCCAATTTCAAAAAATAACCGTTATTTTTTTTCAAAATTTTAAATTTTAAACCTTTAATCTTCAACTATAAATACTCTCATCTTTATTCACTCTTCATCCCATTTAAATCTCCTTAATTCAATTCTCTTAGCTTTCTTACTTTTCCATATTTTTCTACATCTAATCACTAAAAATGGCTATTGTTTGGTCTACTGAAGAAGAGATCTTACTCACTCGTTCATGGATTGATGTAGCAGATGATCTAACCCACAACGACAGTCCGACTACTTTTTGGAGGAGAGTCGCCGACATATACAACCGCCAAGCCCTTCAACCTCGAAGAAAAGACATACTCTATGCCAAATGGTGAAACTCACAAGCACTCACAACTCGGTTTACTATTGTGTTTCATACGTTGATGCATGAAGTCAGAAATGGTGAAAACGAAAATACTTTGCTAGAGAATGCTCTTGAGGCTTACCATGTTGAAACTGGCAAAGATTTCACTTGTTGAGTTTTGGCAAATTGTGAGGCAGAGTCCCAAATTGCGTCAAATTTGAAGTCTTTGTTTTGTAATTTCTAGTGGGTTGTGTGTTTTAATTTCTAGTGTGATATTTCTGAATTTCTAGTGGTCCTGTGATGTTTTTAATTTCTATGTTTTTTTTGAGTTTCTATGCTTTTTTTGAATTTCTATGTTTTTTTAATGGAATTTAAGTTTGTAAAAAAAATAATATGTTTGCAATATTTATTTTCTAAATTAATTTAAAAAAATATTTTTAGCAAGACAAGTGTGGCAACTCACGCCATACAAATGACAAGTTTTCATTAAAGTGTGACAAAAATGACGTGATACCTACGCGAACCGCGGCAAATGTGGCACCACACCCACTAGCCTTATAGCAAAGGTATGATGTTTCTAACATACTTATATAATAATATGTATACAACTTATTTTCTTTTTATTTTTTTAACGACTCAAAGTTAATGCATGTAACTTTCGAACTTTGATCACTCTATTTTGGAATGTGTTAGTACAAAAGATAACCATAGGTCATCTTGGTATGTATTTTTTTTTACTTAATGCAAAAACCGTAGAAATCAATAGTAATCAGAGAATTAATCTTTTTTATTATATATATATATATATATATATATATATATATATATATATATATATATATATATATATATATATTGGATTGATGTGAATTGATATCTATTGTGTGAACGTGTGGACAGTATTATTCTATGAGATTGACAAAGAAAATATGTTGTTTGATAATGTGAATACGTTCAATCTTACAGAAATATTGTCATTATTACATATTCTCACTAATTAAATTGTCTATAAGGTTATTATAGACTTTTTATTATTATTCTCATTCTGTCAGAATGTTGTCGGAATGTTTATTGAGTCGTATTCTGTAAGAATGAAAATGAGTGAAAAACGATGCATGAGAACAAAAAATGAATAAGAATTAGTGAGAATGCATGAAAATGACGATATTTGTATGAAGTTGAACGAATTCACATTACTAAATAACCCATTCTCTTAGTAATTCTCGTAGAATAACACTGTCCACACGTCCGCACAATAGTTGTCCATCCACATTATAACCTAGCCCTATATATATATATATTATATATATATATATATATATTATATATATATATATATATATATATATATATATATATATATATATATATATATATATATAAGATAACAAAATAGCTAAGTCTAAATAAAAGGAAAGAATAAACATATAAAAGATAAAGATATCCTAAATATCATATGAAGTCCAATACTCTCCCTCAAAATGGAGCATTGAGATTCGTAATGCCTATATTGCTAAGTAAAAAACTGAAGTCGGGGAGCACCAAAACTTTTTGTGAACAGGTCCGCAATCTGCATTTTGCTGTCAATAGACATAGGGAAAATTTCTTTGGACTCAACTTTTTCACGAACAAAGAAACAATCCATCTCAACATGTTTGGTTCTTTCGTGAAAGACTGGATTATTTACAATGTGTAAAGCCGCATGATTACCATATAACAAAGGAGTTGGAGTGTCTAAATTAATCCAAAAATCCATTAATAGCCACCGAACCAATAATATATCACTAACTAGATGTCATATCCCTATATTCAGCCTCGGCATATGATCGAGAGACGATAGATTGTTTCTTTGTTTTCCAAGAAATAGGCGCACCTCCAAGCATAAGTGAGTATCCTGTTCTTGAATGTCTAGTATAAGGGCATCCAAGCCAATCAGAGTCGCAAAAGGAAACGAGGGTAGGTTCTCTCGCACGTGGAAGAAGAATTCCTTGTCCAGGTGCACCCTTTAAATATCTCAAGACATGATTGGCTGCTTCCATATGATTATGTCGTGGGTCAACAGCAAACTGGGTTAAGATGCTGACAGTATATGTAATATCTGGTCGAGTAGCTTGAAGGTAAAGTAATCATCCAACTAGCCGACGATACTAACCTGCATCAACTTGTGCTTCATTTTCTCCTTTGTCTAAGTGTAAATTTTGCTCAATGGGAAAAGCAATTGGTTTTCATCAAAACGTTGTAACATCCCAAAAACATGATAAAATTTTTCATTTTTAAATTAAAAGAAACCATTGTTTTCAATCCCAAACCATATCGATGAAATATCTAGTATGCTCAAGAATCATATTAAAGTGATATTGCTAATTAACATATGATAGTAATGGGTCACACTAACAACAACTTGATACAATTGATTATGTATTAGAAATTAGTTTCAATAAATATTAGATAAACTCTTATAATTAAATTGGAAATTATTTATGTATAGGAAATAATAATTTTCATTGGCAAGTACCATTATATAATTCATATGGTATGAATTAATAAGTCATGCACAACATTTTGGACTAGAAAAATTCTTTTGTCTTTTACCAAAAAGTTAAAGTTTATATTTTATAAACTTGGTTTATAAAATATAAAGGTTTTGACTTCTTCCTTTTATTATTTTATAAAAATAAGAGTAAAAAAAGAAGAGTATGTTTTTTTTGATTATTTAAATAGGAAAATGGATCTTTGAATATTTAAATAAGAGTATGGTTTTTTGATTATTTAAATGAGAGAATGACTCTTTAATTATTTAAATAAGAGTATGGTCTTTTGAATAGTTTATTCAAAATTTAGGGTATTGTTACTACTATATATACAAGACTTGAGGCTTGCATTTTTCTTGCCTTTTATGAGTGAAAAACGTAATTTGATGAGGGAGATGCATTCTCTCTCATTTTTGGTTCATCTCATGAAGATTACTTGCTTCTTATGCTCTCTTTATGTTCTTATTTTGATAAGAATATAAATCTTAAGAGTGTTAAGAACTTTATACAAAAGAACTAGCATTCTACATCAAGTTGAACCATTGTTGGTGTCTCAAAGGTTCCACATTCTTCATCAACTTCCAAGCCTCCCAAGAGGACCCAAAGAACTACAAAGGTTGTTACGTCTTTATCCTTTCTTTGGTTGGTGTTTAAATCTTTCTACAACTTTCAAGATGATCCTTGGTGGGTATAAACTTGGTTTATGTTTATTCTAATTTTAAAGTCTTCCGTTGCTAAATCTTATGTTTTTGAAACTAGTTTTTTGAATAAAAACCCAACAATCAAGTCAAGTGTCAAATACAAATATTCCCCAAGATCATAACATCATAAAATCTCCCAAAATATATCTTCGAAGGATATGTAAGATCACGCCTTCACCTTGTCACGATCATCTGAAGTACCTGAAACACTAAACTGAAACTGTAAGCCAAAGCATAGTGATTTCCCCCAAAGTACTGTTAAGTTTTAGTTCAAAAATAGTTTCATAAACTTGAAAAATATGGAAACGAAAGACTTTAATTTTTGAAATAACATAAACATTTTATACCCACCAAGGATCTTCTTGCAAGTTATAGAAAGATTAAAACACGAACCAAAGAAGAGGTGAAGATATAACAACCTTTGTAGTTCTTTGGGTCCTCTCGGGAGGCTTGGAAGTTGATGAGGAATGTGGAACCTTAGAGACACCAACAATGACTCAACTTGATGTAGATGCTAGTCCAAAACTCTTAAACCCTTAAGTGTTAAGTTCATAACCAATATGAACTTAAAGAGGGCTTGAAGATGCAAGTGTTCTTCAAGTTTTCTAACCAAAACTAGAGAGAAAGGGAGAGGGAAGAGAGGATTCGGATTTTGCATCAAGGAATGAATAAGAAAATAATCTAAGTGGAAGCTCTCTTATTTATATGCATAAAGTGAAGTTATTAACCATTAGTCCTTAGCACTTTAAGCAAACTTGTCCCCATTGTCATAAGCATGTCTCTCATGCCTTTAAAGCATGATTATACAAATCATACACTTCTTCATTTTATGCATATCTCGAAAATTGCATAAAGAAGAAGAAAGAAAGTCAAACTTTTATAAAATCTTTTATAAAATATAAACCTTGTATTTTAGGAAAAAGACAAAAGGATTTAACTAGTCCAAAAGTTTGTACATGACTTATAAATCATACCATATGATGTATATTAAGTTACTTGCTAATTGAATTTACTATTTCCATGAAATAAATAATTTCCAATTTAATTATAAGAGTTTTATTGAATATTTATTAAAATCAATTTCTAATAAATAATCAATTGTATCAAGTTGTTGTTAGTGTGACCCATTAGTATCATATGTTATTTAGTAATATCACTTTAATATGAATCTTGAGCATACTAGGCCTTTCAATCTCCCACT